GGTATTTGGACATACAAGTTCAGAATTCACAGGAGAGATGTGGAAATGGAGCTGTAAATAGGGAGTTTTCAAACTATTGTTACTATTTGGGGAAAAATAGAAAAGTTAACAGATCCGGAAACAGAGCCTGGGACACTGCAATATTTAAGAGTTAGAGGATAAAAGAACCTACCAGAAAGATGGCTAAAGAAAAATCAACAGTAGGAAGTAAACAGATGAATGTGGTACCTTGGAAGCCAAGTGGAGGGAAAAGAAGTATTTTCATGAAGTGGGAATAATCAGCTTTGTTCAGTTCTGCTGATTGGTAAAGAAAAACATTAGCAGTGTAGAAATTACAGATGAACAGGTTTCATTGGTCAGGCAGAGGCAAAACCCTGGTTGGAGTGGATTAGGAGACTAAGGAAAAGCACTGTTCTTACCAACTCTTGAGTGCTTGGCACCAGGAACTGTTTCATTTGCTGCCACATCCTATCTTCCTGCCACAGTGTTGGTGTGCATTCAGTCTTCAGAATATGTTTTTTAATTAAAGAATATGAGCATGTCGTGCTGGCACTGCCCCTGGGACATGCTGAGATAGCAATTGAGACTGGGCGTGGTGGCACCGACCTGTAATCACAGCACTTGGGAGGCTGAAAACAGGATCACTACAAGGCAGATCTGTGTAGTGAGACCCTGTAGACCCTGTACTAAATACATTTAAAATATAAAAAATATAGTCAAATGAGCTTTCCCTATACAAATTTTATCTTCCAGCAAAAAGAATAAAGAGAAGGCAAAAGCTCCTATAATAGTCATTGCCTTATACCAGAATCTGTGTGTTGTAGCTCTTTAACTGTAAAGCATGTAAAGTATGGTTGCATGTATGACTCATCTGCTATATAGAGGCACGTGGCACATAGCAGGAAGCATTTCATGTTGAATCAGGAAATAATAAGTAGCATTAAAGAGTGAATGAAAATGCTCAGAATTCATTATATAATACAAAACTTGATACAGTAGTTAATTATAATAAATATAAGGCAAATTTACTATAGTTGTAAAAACAGGATTATCATACATGGTATGATACAAGACATAGTGAAGAAATGTATAGAAATTTTCTTAGAACAAATAGTACTTTTTTCATTGCTGGAACAAAATACCTAACAAACCTTTAGGTTTATTTTAGCTCACAGTTTGTAGATGTTAGTTTATAGTCAGCTGGCTCCAAGGCAGGGTGGCATGACAGAGGGGCCTAGCAGAAGAGAAACAGTTCATGGCATGGCAGGCAGGAACCTTCAAAGCAGGGAAGCAGCAAGTGGCATTAGCCACCTCTCCCTTCTATCCCTTCTAGGGTACTGGTCTTTTGGGTGGTGCCACCAAAACCCGGCTGGACCTTCCCATTGTCCACACATGGGACTGTGTTATGTCAGTTTGTGGATTATTTTAGAAATCACACTCCTTTATCACCAGTATCACACATTCTAGATCCGCCTGTGCCTGCATAAGGCTTTGGGGTGATAGCTAGATACAAGCTATTACACAGGACATAGTGAGATGGGTATAAAAAAATGTATAAAAGTTTTTGTAGAAAATGCTACTTGAGGCAGACCTTAAAAGAAAAGCTTGGAAAACTTTGGTTAAGGCAAATGATATGAGAGAATATTAAAAAAGAAAAGGCAAAGTATGTTCAGATCATAATAAATTTTCAAAGTATAGAACATGTGTAGATGTGACAAAGAAATATAGCCTGATCCTCTATTTCTAATGTCAACATTAATAGTACTACTTAAAATTTGCAGAGAAAGGACAGGGAGATAGCTCGGTAGTGTATGTGCCTGGCTGGCAAGCACAAGGTCATGAGTTCAATCCTCATACCAAAAAAAAAAAAAAATTACAGAGTACTATTTGCAAAACACTTTCACTTACCTTTTATATATGTACTTAAAGCACTTCAGTGACATAGTTGAGATAGATAATAATTTCTCTATTTCAAGAATGGAGAAATTGGGATTCACAGAGTTTCCTTCACTGACTTGCCTGTGCTTGGTCTCAGTGACTGTCAGAGATGCAACTCCAACACTTATTTTCTGAATCCAGGTTCTTGGTTCCTTTTGCTAATTCACAATAGCTAAATATTAGAACAAGTTAGCAGTTCATACTCAGAATTTGGCGTGGCATAGGAACGCATGGTCACAGTGGAACGGAGAGGCGTGAGATCACAGTTGAGTTTCTTGTGAGATCAGTTTGACTGAAGGAACTATTGGCGCAGGTAGAAACTGAAAGCAAAGAGAACAATTATGAAATATTTGCAGTGGTTCACACAGACGGAATGAGAAAAGCAGAGTTGGTTTGATATGAAAGTTGGGTAGAAACAAAAAACTGAAGAGATCTTGTAGAAATAGTGTAACATCGATAGGCCTTGACAGAAAGCACTTTAAAATGATGACTTTTGAACTAAGTGACTGGAAGAATGGGGCTACAGAAGAGGCATCTTTGGAGTGACCACAAGTGGTATCTTAGATGCAGTAAGGTTTCATCAGAGAACTGATCTTTTCAAGGCTTCCCATGGAGGTATATTTTTTTAAATAATGTTTTTATTCATTTTAATGAGAAAAGATAAAATCACAATGAAACAGTTTCAAAACAGGTTAGTAGGACAGTTACAATAATTAAGACACTGCATATTGTTGTCTTTATAGTAGCTATTCAGAGGACAAGATGCAGACATGATATCTTGGCTATAAACAATATTAGAAACCTGATATTGGTTTGTACCTAAGAAAGGTACAAACCTTTCTTCTCAACAAACTAAGAGAAAATAGATGTTTATCTAGCCATATATATATATATATATATATATATATATATATATATTTATGAAGGTATATTAAATGGGATCAGAGAGGCATAATTTGGTAGTGTAATTTCTTTTTTCTATTTTTTTATTTTTTATTTTTAGGGAAGGGTCTACAAAGTGTTCAGGGCCTCACTACTAAGTGATCCACCTGTTTACAGCCTCCCAAGAGCTGGGATCACAGGCGCATGCCTCCACACCTAGTCTCAATTGCTGTCTCAGCACACCCTGGGGGATGGCGCCAGCACAGCAAACCCGGGGATCATACCCCCTGCCCCTGCTCCTCCTTGCAGGCACTTTAATCCCCTGAGCTATTTGGCCAGCCCTTTGGGAGCATAATTTCTCCCCTTCATGTGACTGTACTTTCTGAGCACTCATCCCAGGGCCTTGTTTATAACAGAGTTTGTTTTTCCCTGTGTAATACAAGGTGAGCTATCCTTGGCATTGTATAAACCTGACAGTTTTTGCCACTTGTTGCTATAAGTGGGCGCTTCCCCACTTTGTGTAGTTTCCTTACCTGCATGTCCTCTTCTGTATTTAGCAGCAACTTGAGGGAACCCTCTGCAGGATTCTGGAGTTTTTCCTTCGTAGGTCTTCTGTCTGGTACAGTATTCTACTATGACAAGACCGGCCCCCTTGGCCTCCCCTGATTCCCTGCTCTGCCTCCTCGGCACAGACTGGTCACCAGGCTCTCAAGAGGTCCTTTCTTCTTATATTGGCCTGGAGTAAGCTGGGCAGTCTGGGTAGTCACAGGTTTCATGCCACCACTTCCTCCTCTCAGGAAATACTCCTATCTGAGACAAGCAATAGTTTTATTTATTCTGTCTGATTTGCATGAATCCAGGTGGGAGGGTCAATTTGGTTCCTATTCTTCTTTTGTTGTTAGAAGCACAGTTCCTCCATGGATATTCATAATTATTAAAATTAATAATTATAGAGAATAGTGAGGTAAAATGTAATGTTGACGAATTGCTGAAATAATCCAGAAATGGTTCTTAACAAGTAGCTTTCATCAAAAAGGTATTATTATTGAAAGATTGACTAATACTATTGAAGCCAATCTCTTCTAATTTTGTATGTTTAAATTTAAATTAGGGTAAAGAAGTTACATTTTATTATGTTTTATTGTTTTCTACAACTCATACTTGTTACTGTGAAGTCAAATATTTTGTTGCTGTTCTATCTTCCTACTTGTAATATTTTCTAGAAAGAACTGTCTGTATGTCAACCTATATAGGTGAGGAAGTCGTAGACATCCATGGACTTTATCTGCCAGTAGCACATATATTTAAGTGGACTAGGTAATCATATAGCTCTTGACTGCCATTTGAGAGCATAGGTACTCTTATGTGCCATGTGAAGTTCCAAGGCATACAAAGCTCTGCTCATAAATTTATCACTGAGAGGACCTGAAAGCACATTTGTGTAAGCTTCGTGGGTATCACAAGTCTTTGTTCAGTAGTGGCCTGTATGAATTAACAAAGCAAAATGAAATTAGTGCTTTCTCAGGAAATGATTATTTTAAACTTACTAATGATAGTCCTAGTCTTAGGGTAGTGTAAGATGAAAGCAGACTTCCAGCTCAAGCAGTGAGATGGAGTAGGAGAGGAATTTCTTCCTCCCCTTTGTTCTCTTCAAGACCAAGATAGACTTGCAGACACCTCTCTTAACTGCGAGGACACTCTGCTTAGTCCGCTGACTCACATCCTGGACTTGCCTGCAAACACCCTCAGACATACACCCAAAATCGGTGCTAATCAGGTATCTGAGTGGTCTGCAATCCAGTCAGTTTGACACCTAAGATTAACTAACAACAGGACTTTTAAAATCTCACAGTATTTTTTGTACATCTGAAAAGTACACCCTTATCACTAGCATACTGGTGTCACAGTTGTATTAGTATGATCTTGAACGTATCCTTTGGTGAAATGAAAATGTTCTGTGAATAATTCCTGGCAAAAAGGTCATCTTCATTTACAATATAGATATCATTATATAATAAAATACTTGTGATAATAACTGATTACATTGGTTTTATTTTAATCAATGGAGTAGACCAAGATATAGAGGTTTCTTTTTTTTTACTATTCAGTTTATTGCTAATCATCCTAATTATGTCTTTTATTTCCTCTGTATCTTTTTCCTGTATTTTTTATACTCATAGCTGTATGCCATCCCTTGGTTTCTCACCATGTTTACTCGTAAGTATCATTTTCCTTTTTCCTTTTAGTATTAGCAAAAACAGGTCCACTGTTCCCTAGTATTTTATATTATTTTACAATAATAGTAAGGACATTTAATGAGCATCCTTATGTAATTCTGTTGTGATAGAATTTGATAGAAAATAATTCTTGTTCTGTTCCTTGAATGTTATCAACAGAACTGTATAGGATGCCAATCTGTTTTACATGTTAATGTTCATACAAGCTTTGCCCACTTTTGAGAAAAGAATTTAACAACAACTACAGTACTTGAGTTCTGTGAAACCAATTTTTGAAGCAAAATCAGCCTAAACTTCTAGAGAAATACCCTAATAACTAGTAATTTTATTTCCTAAACTGGTATGCCTGTAGAAATTACACAATCTGTGTATGTATAGACTACTTTAGTTATAAATATGAATATAGTATATATCCTTACTTATATATAATAAACATAATAAATGAAATAATATTATGAAATAGATCTGTAGTCATTCCCTGGATGATACACTTTTAATAAAAAAGAAGAAAATATTAAAAAATTATTAATAGAACTATTGGTGAGAATTGTTAAATTTATTAAAACCGATTATAATGCAAAATGGAAATGTAACCTTACTGTACATAAAAGTGTTAAAAATTACCTATATAAGTTTATGTAAACAATATAACTAAAATATTATAGGGAAAATATTTCATAAATGGGATAAATTTACTAATATTGATGATAGAAGTGAGAATATGTCATCCATTTCACTAATCTTTAACAATTTTTAAGAAGCTTTGAAAGTTAAATTTTATAAAGCAAAGTGAACATTTTATGATGTTCAGAAGTATTAGATATTTATTTTTTTATGAATGAGAGATCCTAACTGCACTCAGCATCGCAGTCTTCCTGCCTGAGGAGGTGAGATAGCAGACACAAGCCCCAGTGCTGTGCTTTGTATTAGCTCTGGAAGAATAGACCATAAATTAATCATGTATTGAGTAAAGCAAGTTGTTTTAGTTTCTATTAAGTTCTTAATTTTAATTAATTAATTTTGAAAAATTATTCCACAGATGTATTTCCATTGCATAAAATATTCCACCTCTGGGATACATTACTACTTGGGAATTCCTCTTTCCCATTCTGTATTGGAGTAGCGATTCTCCAGCAGCTGCGGGACCGTCTATTGGCTAATGGCTTCAATGAGTGCATTCTTCTCTTCTCTGACTTACCAGGTAGAAGTCTAAATAAACAGAATCATTAAATGTAATTTGACTACAAAATAGCAAGATATTTTAAGCCATTTACAAAAGTAATCATGCAGGCCTTCAGCATCTCTACCCCCAAACCTCTTTATCCCTCTCTGCTCTCTCCCTGCACATTGCCTCTCCTGCTGGCCCAGCAGAGCAGATACAAAGTAGTCACAGTTGCTCCTTGTAGTTTGCTTTAAACCCAGTAATCCCGCCAGAAGGGTTAAAGGCTGGGAAGTGCAAGTGCTCACCATCGCGTAGGACTGAGCTGTTTATGTTGACATGGTGGGGAGTAATTTAGGGCTGGTTGGGGAAGGGCTGGAGAGTGTATATTTATATGAAAATGATGATTCATTTGGGCCTTTGCTCCCTCATAGCAGCTGTTTGCTAACACAGTGACAGCTTCAGGAAAGGAAGCACTGTCCTCTTGGAGGTCAGAACCACTCAGGGAAATTGTGTGTCATACAGTACAGTGTACTAAGTGAAGTTGTATAGGGTGTGCACATGTGAAGTGTTTGGCAAACCTAAGGCTTAAATGCTTAAAGATAGAAGTATGACTAGCAGCTATAATCTTGATTCCATGGTTAACAAGGTGAAATTACTATGTTTGTCCATGATGTCACTAAATCTTTCAAAGGGAAATTAATCCAATACTTTGGTAGAAACTAAAATGTTTTTAGGTAGAAAAATTATTCTTTTACAGTATTTTATTGGCTTAATCTCTTCTCATTTTAATGGTATCCCACACATTTTTAGACAAACACAAATTTTGCTAATAATAAATATACTTAAAATTATCCAAGGGCTGGTGAGATGGCTCAGTGGTCTAAAGCACCTACTTAGAACAAGCTAAGCCAAGCAAAGCACAGGGAACGTGGTTCAATCCCCCAGCACCACATGCCAGCCAGCCCCGCCCCCTGGTGGGCTGAGCTGGCCACACACACACTAAATAAATAAATAAATAATTTTAAAAATAAAAAAACAAAATAAAATTATCCAAGATATAAATATGTCTGAAAACCAAGAAAAGAAAACAAGAGTAAGATACTTGTTGTCTTATTTATTTTGCATTTTTAGTGTATGGTCTATATTTGATATTCTACAATCTCTCTTTAAAATCTTTTGTTTTGAAGGGAAATAATAACAAAAATGCCTTGAAATAATTAAAAACTCTTCAAGTTAAAAGTATCACCATCAACTAATTTATCAAATGTCAATTAAAGTGAATGATTTTTTCTATAAACAGCATGTTTATTTTTTCTGAAAGATTAGGAAAGTCAAGGGTTTTTTTTTTTTCTCTCCTTCAGTTTTAAACAGTAATAATAATAATAAAAAAAAATCATCACAAACTAACAATGCTGTTTGTACCTACAGATGTTTCCTTGTCATTCCCAACTTGGAAAAAAATAAAAATAAAAAGAATGACTGATTAGGAGTAAAAGAAGGGCCAGCCTGATAGCTCAGCAGATTGAAGTGCCTGTTTAGGCAGATGCAGGGGCTAGGGGTTAGATCCCTGGAATGCTGAGACTGGGGATGAGACTGGGCATCGTGGTGCACACCTGTAATACCAGCACTTGAGAGGATGAAAAACAGGAGGATCATTCCAAGTCCAATCTGTGCAGTGAGACCCTATAGATCCTGTACTAAATACAAAAAAAAAAAAAGAGTTAAAGAATTTTTCTGATCAGTTATAAAAATGTATATATTAGAAAAGCTGATTTTCATTTTATATCAAATACTGTAAATGTAATGCTTTTCCTATTCCATACATAAATGTTCCCATTACTTAATGGAATCTGATTTAATATTTCATAGGCAGCTTAGCAGTAAATCTTAGTCAAAAAGAATAGGTAGGCTAACTCCATATTTTGCTTCTAATTTTGAGTCAGTTTATAAATAAAAGATAAGATTAGGCATTGAGGGACTGGGGAGATGGCTCAGTGGAATAAGTGCTTCCCTAGCAAGCCTGAGGGCCTGAGTTCAATCCCTGGTTCCGCCAAAAACACCAACCAAAAAAAAAAAAAAAAAGAGAAAAAGAGAAAGATTAGGCATTGATAAGAATTTACTGAATATGTTGAGCTTTATTGAAATGCCGCATGCTGTTTAAATAATAAGCAGAACAGATTTAACCATAGTCTTTCCTAAATCAGATTGGCTAAGTCGGTATTCAAAAGATCTCCTGGCAGTAATATAATACAGGCACCACATGGTTGGTGACCTTGTGAACAGACTAGGCAACATTTTTACTTCTAATAGCCTAGAATCTAAGTGTGGAGGATGTGCTTAGATCACATGGGTTCACACTGTGGCTCCACCACTTCCCCTTGGCTAACCCTAGAGAATGACTTAGTGTCTTTGTATCTCTTTCTCCAATCATGAGAATATTACTGTACATAAATTATTGTGTTAAATCAGTGTTATCTAAGGAACTTAAAAGATTGTTTGGTGAAGAACAAGGGCAATATGACTATTATTATTATTATTATTATTATTATTATACCTTTCCTTGTTTTTTTTCATTCTATCATAACTTGCTTTCGTGGTAGTATAAATACAGTGATTTCTCCACTTGTCTTTTCCCTCAGATTACTGAATTAAGCATCAGTAATATACATGCTTTCTGGTCTCTCCTCCAGGGACTTGCCCCTTCCAACCAGAGCCCACCTCTTCACAGCGCATGGCTGTGAGCTCATCTGCTGATGAGTATAGTGATCCTCCATCGCCTCATCTTCTAAACATGTGAGCCTTTGGGGGATGTTTTAGGTATACTGTAGCATTCAGCCTACTTAAGATCCTGCTCTTTAATTCTTACAGGGAGAATTCAGCTGAAAGTTGTAATTCTTTTGGCCAGATTTTTGTTTTCAATTTCTATTGCCTTATAGATGATAGAGTGTGATTTTACATTCCAAGGAAGTACAAGTGGTGTTAGAAAATTTTGCTGAAGCTTCTTGACATGTACTGGTATGTGTGCCACATTTTTACTAGAGAAAACAACTATGAAATCAGTGCACCTGGCATTTCTCATGCAACCTAAAAATAGTCACAGCATATTTTGGAAGAAATACTGAACTTTCATATCCCCATCCAGTACTGGATTTTGGCCAGGTGTATCAGAGAACATTTCCAAGGTTGCAGTATTTTAACCTCAATTATGTGATGAGGACTGCCAATATTCGTTCAGTTCTTCCTCTTTGGTATCACTCTGCTATAGCGTCTATTTGTTTGATTTTTAAAAATTTCTTTTGAGGATACATCCATACAAGTTTGAAGATGAGTATAACCTATGAATAAGACCCAGAAGGTCATAATTTGAGTGGCTTTCTCAGAGCATAGATTTTTGAATTCTTTATTTTGTTGTTGCATTTCCTTTGTACAGTTGAATATTGATTCAACATATTAATATCATTTTATATAATTGAAACAGATTCTTAGAATACACATCCTTGCATTCTTGAACCCCCTCAGTCAGGAATATTTATAACCAAGAAAGAAAAAAATTTACTAGAGAACCTATAGAAAAAAATGGGGGGGAGCAGGGAAATGGCTCAGTAGAATAAGCGCTTGTACAAGCGCAAGGTCCTGAGTTCAATCCCCAGTACCAAAAAAAAAGGAAAAGAAAAGAGAAATTGAGAAATATCTATGAAAGAACCCTGAACTTATTCTGAACATAAAACCATGATTTTAAAATTAAGACAAAGAAATGTGTATACATAAATTTTTTAGAATAAACACTGAGTATACTCGAGAATTTCAGCATATGGAAAGTTTCAAATCCTGTTTGCAGATAGAAATTAGCATTTAAATGAAAAATCTTAGTATGATATTTGGTTTATTATAAAAGCTTAATTTAAAGGAAAAACTTTAAATGAATTTTAAAGGCATTTTATTTTATTATTACTGACATACCTTACAATAAAATTTACTTAGCAGCACAAACATGAGAATATTAGTTATGTATTACTATTTTCACTGGTTCAAAAGTACTGTAGGTGTTGTGATATGATAGTGTCTAAGTAAATTTAATTATATTGACTTAATACAACTGAGTAATACAGTCTTTCCCATTTAACATAATCTGGCATATTTCATGACAACACTTTCTTCACTCTTCGTTGGTTATGCAGAGGATAGGTTTCATTTTATCAGCTCTGTATATGCATATAACATACTTTGATTGGTTTTACCTCCGTTACTCCATTGCCCTGTTGCTGCCTAGTTTCTCTTTTTTTTTCCCGTGAGGTTTCAACAGATGTATTTTGATCATATCCATCTCCTCAACCAGTATTACAACACTCTACATACTCCATTTCTCTTGTCTCAATAATAGTCTACTTTCTTGTCTCTTTTTTTTTTTCTTTTTCTAATATTCCAGGTGTTAGGATACATGGAATTCAATGTTTTTCTGAGTCTGGCCTCTGTTGCTTAACATGATAGTATCCAAGTCCATCCAATTTTCCTGCAAATGACAACTTGTCATTCCTGTTTCCTTCTGAGTAATACTCCATTGTGTATATAAAACGCATTTGCTTTATCCATTAATCTGTTGGGCACTGAGGCTGGTTCCCTTCCTTACATGTTGTGAATTGTGTTGCAGTAAACCTGAGAATTCAGGTGTCTGTACTGGACAGACTCTTAATTCCTTCGGGCATACCCCAAGAAGTAGTATAGATGGGTCGTAAGGCAGCTTTAGTTTTTGAGCAACCTCTCCTCTGATTTCCATAGTGACCAGTAATTTACATTCCAACAGTATTATAGAAGGGCTTCGTTTTCCTTCATCCTCACCAACATTTATTGTTCCATTTTGTTATTTTCTTAACAATAGCCATTCTGATTGGGATGAGTTGGAATCTCATTGTAATTGTGATTTGCATTGCCCTAATGACTGAAGATGCTGAACATATTTTCATATTCTTATTGGCCATTTGTATTTCTTTTGAGAATTCTCTGTCCAATTCATTTGCCCAGTTGCTTTTTTAGTATTAAGC